ATCCTCCTTTCCGTAATTTAAAAAAAGATTTTTAACATTTATGCTTTCAGGATCCAAGAATCCCTAAATTAAGAGATAACTGAACTGTACATATACACAGTAAAAAACTAGATTATCAGATAAGAATATCTCCTGGCTAAAAAAATGAAAAAAAAGAAATAAAAACATATCAAAGAAAAAACTCGATTCAAGGACAGCCTTTAAATATTACAAAAACAAATTAATATATTACAAAAATATATAAGATGACTCTTCTGTAAACCAACAGACAATAAATCTGGATTTGTAGATAATTAGGTTTGATTGAAACAAAGAACACTTAAAAACATTTAAGCCCCACAATATTACTGAAGTATAAGAATTACACTACTTATATCATAAAAGTTAATGTACACAAACTAGTAGCAAGTCATTAACAGAATTATGAATTTATATTTTGATTTTCTCTCAATGAATTCAAGTCATACATGCACATCTACAGTCTTTCGCCTTGTTTCAATTCAGTTCTCAATTAAATACTATATTGTAGCAGCCCTAACGATCCACTGCAAAGAAAGTAATTCAAAAAAAGTTGACTTTCGGCCAGGTGTGGTGGCTCACGCCTGTAATCCCAGCACTTTGGGAGGCCGAGGCGGATGGATCACCTGAGGTCAGGAGTTCAAGACCAGCCTGGCCAACACGGCAAAATCCCGTCTCTACTAAAAACACAAAAATTAGCTGGGTGTGGTGACAGGCATCTGTAATCCCAGCTACGCAGGACCCTGAGGCAAGGAGAATCTCTTGAACCTGGGAGGCGGAGGCTGCAGTGAGCCGAGATCATGCCATTGCCCTCCAGCCTGGGTGACAAGAGCAAGACTCCACCTCATAAAAAAAAAGGAAAAAAAAGAAAAGAAAGTTGACTTTCCCAAAATTTCAAAAAGTAATTTGGTATAGACCTATGGACCATCATATTAGCAAAACAATTTCATTATAGCATTATTTTAAGAGTGAAAATGTATGGGCCAGGCACAGTGGCTCACGCTTGTAATCCTAGCACTTTGTGAGGCTGAGGCCAGTGGAGTGCTTGAGCTTAGGAGTTCAAGAACACCCTGGGCAATATGGCAAAACCCTGTCTCTACAAAAAATACAAAAAGTTAGCCAAGTGTGGTGATGCACGCACGTGCGCGCGCATCTGTAGCCCCGGCTATTGGGGGGCTAGGGCAGGAGGATCACTTGAACCCAGGAGGTAGAGGCTGCTGTGAGCTGAAATGCACTGCACTCTAGCCTGGGTGACAAAGTGAGACTCTGTCAAAAAAAAAACAGCCGGGTGTGGTGGCTCATGCCTGTAATCCCAGCACTTTGGGAGGCTGAGGCGGGTGGATCACGAGGTCAGGAGATCGAGACCACCCTGGCTAACACAGTGAAACCCTGTCTCTACTAAAAATAAAAAAAAATTAGCCAGGCATGGTGGCACGTGCCTGTAGTCCCAGCTACTCAGGAGGGCAAGACAGCAGAATCACTTGAACCTGGGAGGTGGAGGTTGCAGTGAGCCAAGATCGTGCCACTGCACTCCAGCTTGGGTGACAGAGCGAGACTCCGTCTCAAAAAAATAATAATAGTAATAATAATCCGAGTAAAAAAGTGGAATTACTAAAATGTTAAGATATGGAAATGGTTAAATAAACTAAGGCAGTAAATAAAACTTTGGACTATTAAAAGCCATAAAATAACAGTAATATGCAGCAACAGGGAAAGCATGTTAAATTTAAAGACAATTATATTAACATTAATCACAGAATTATACACAAGCACAGGTAGGATTAGAATATTATATTACTACTATATTATAGAATAACAGGATTAGAGTACAGAAAAATGTAAGTGTTAGGCGACAGTAATTTAAATTTTTTCTTTTGAATTTCTTTTAATCATGTTACATTTTTTCCAATAAAAAGTTTTCAAAGGCTGGGCATGGTGGCTCACGCCTGTAATCCCAGCACTTTCGGAGGCCTAGGTGGGTGGATCACCTGACATCAGGCATTCGAGACCAGCCTGGCCAACATAGCGAAACCCCTTCTCTACTAAAATTTCAAAAACTAGCCAGCCGTGGTGGCGGGCGCCTGTAATCCCAGCTATTCAGGAGGCTGAGGCAGGAGAATCGCTTGAATCTGTGAGGCAGAGGCAGGAGAATCACTTGAATTTGGGAGGCAGAGGTTGCAATGAGCCGAGATCGCACCACTGCACCCCAGCTTGGGTGAGGAAGCGAGACATCGCAAAAAAAAAAAAAAAGTTTCAAATACCATATTAAGCTCTATTACATCCACATACTTATATAGGTAGAAAATGTTTTAAAGCTTTAAACTTCTTCCTGCAAAATACTAAGTTTTAAATTTCAAATAATAAAACTGCCTAATTTTGGAATATCCTACAATCTGATGCTAAAGACCTATTGTTTTACACCAGCTGTACTATGCAAAATCCTTTCCCCAAATTTTAGCTGTTAAAAAGGAATTTCCCATTCCAACAAGGCATCCCCTTACTACGTTTATCTGTCAAACTGACAACCTGTGGCACCAGTATAAACAAAATTAACATTTTAAATCAGTTATTATGAAAACTTATTTGCCCTTGCTATTCAACAAACATATTATATTGGAAATTCAAATTACGACAGAAATTCGTTTTGCAAATCAAAAGAACAAATCAAACAACCTGCCACTGACTCAGCAACTTTCTTTTTTATTTTATAACCTGTACTTAAGGTGCAAGCATATGACTGAAACCTAGCTTTCAATTTTTTTCTTTTTTTTTTAGCCAGGAAGCCTCCAGAACCAGAACAGGCTCTGAGAGATTCCCCTAGCTTTCAAACTGAGCAGCAAAGCCAATGCAAAATCAGTATTTGTTTTGGCAGGAAACTGCAATGAAAATATGAGATGTTTTGGTCTTAACTGGCAGATACACAAAGAGCAAAGAAAGGTGCCTTATTGAGTTATTATTTATAATGTAAAATCCTTTGTGTACAGCTACAAATTCGCTTTTATTGCAGATACTTAGTATGTTTCTTTATAGAAAGCACCTCAACCAAATAATCTCCCAAATTTGGCACCAGGAACTGTTACAGCCTACACATCACTACAGTTCCCAGTTCCTTGTAATTTAAAACATCTGCGTTTTAAGAATAGTCTCCACACTCCAACTATGTTGCCAATTTCCTCAGCTAAAAGCTTAAGTTTACACTACAAAATACTGTATTTACTCTCGACAATAAAATGCACTCATTTACAAAGCATACAGGAGTAAATTACTCCAATATGCAACCTCAAAATTTCTCCAATATACAAGGACAACATTTCTAACATTATAGCTTTCCTATTATCCAAATCAGTAAGTCTAAATAGTAGTATTGTACACTGAATGAGGTACTACTGGCCAAAGTCAAGTCGCATATGATCAGTTCACTAAAACAGGTCATACGAAAGATCAGACCCCTAATCTCAATAAACTATTTTGCAAAATGGTCAACGGAGATACTAAAACGGAGGAAAGTGTGGATTGAGCGGCAGAAAACCCTTTGCCATTACTGGAGGAAAAAAAAAAAGTCAAAGCAAGCCTATAAGAGAGGCAGATCATGTTCATGAATACAAATCTAAGTTCACTGCCGACTTTCCAGTCTCATAGCAAGAAGGCAGATACCAACTCTTTAACAGTAATACAAAGGACAGGACAAAATATAGTTTCTTTTTTTCGTGTTATATCCAAGAATAAGGATAAAGGATACCTTTAATGTTCAGAGATGAAAATTTCCTTTTGCAACTAATACTGGTCTTATCGCGTGTACACAGAAAAATCATACAATGCTCTGCATTTCTGATAGAGTAATACACACGATCACATCAAATCAAGTATTTATCCAGAACTCAGTGCCTTAGCACTAACATTCTCCCCTCTCATTATACCCAGACCGGAAGAGAAAACCTATTCCTACGTAAATTAGGGCCTGGGAAGAATGCCTCAACACGGGTTTGCACACAATTAAGCAGGCTCAGTGGGTGAATTTCTCAGGTTACAACGCTTGACAGTATCTCGGAGGCACAGAGACAGCTGAGGGTTCACTACTGGAAATGACACTTTCCCTCACATTTGCACAATAACTGCGGTAACTACCCTAAATTTTCCAGTGTGACAAACATACATAAGGGGAGAAGGGGGTACTATTTAAAAACTGGGTCATTCCTTTTTAGTGCAGATACAAGACGGTCTTCGAGAGGGAAAAGGTCTATCAAGCAGAAAAGGGGAGGAAAAACAAAAACAAAAAAAAACGACAGCATTCTTAAAACAGAAAAAGTTACAGCTCTTTACAGGAGTCAGCCCTAGGACTTCATTCCTTGGTTTTGTGTTTAGTCACTCTAGAGTTAAAAGGACCCTGCCTTCCTAAAAAGTCATCCCCGACAAAGAAGCCCTGAGGATCGGCGTAAGACAGAGGAGGAAATGTCCTCAAATCACCAGCGACACCTGCCCAGGTCCCCCTCCTCCCCGTTGTCCCCGACATTTCTCAGTCCCCCGACCCCCCTCGAGACGGCCCGCCACCCCGGGCTCTAGCTCTACGTGCTCTCGGCCTCGACCCCCTCTGGGAACCCCCGATCCTGCTCCCTCCGCATCCCTGCCCCCACCCAGGCGGCCGTCGCCCCGGCGGTCCCCCGGGCCCAGACTCCTCGCGCTTGTAAGCAAACGATTCTCAGGGGCCCGGGCGGCGGCGCGGGGAGGCTCTCCAGGGGCAGCCTTTCCCCGACCACATCCCGCAGGCTCCGGGGACTCCCCGCCCCCGGAAACCGCGGAGAAACTAGGCCAGGAACGCCAGCCGCGGCCACTCTCCGCCTCCTCGGCGACCCCCCGCGGGCCGGCCACTTGGAATTCTGCCTTCTCGGCTCTACCTGTCCGGCGCCCTCCCAGCCTTGGAGCGCAGGCCCCGCGAGGGCACAGCTCAGGCTTCCTCCGCCAAAGGCCCCGCGCCGCAGCCTCACCTGCTGCCTGGTCCTCTGTCAGCGCCACCGCGACACGGTTTCTTCCTGGGGCATGAAAGCACCGGCTCCGCGGCCTGGGCGCGCTCGGCAGGGCAGGGCAGGGTACTAGCTCCAGCGGCGGCCGCCGCCGCCTCAGTCCGCTCTGCGCCTGCGCCGCCTCGCGGGCAGGGTCTCGGAGGGGCGCCGCCTACAGCCAGGAGCAATGGCCGGAGCGCGGGCCCGCGCGGGTGCCTCCGCGCTGTGAGCCGTCTAACAGTGCGGGCGGCGGGTCGCCTAGGAACTGCCCGCGGCGCCTCCGTCCCAAGACTTGACCGCCATGTTTCTGTTCCCTTTTTCTCCCCCGCCTTCCGCCCGTTTCCACAGAACAGCACTTTCCTTTCCTCCTCCCTCTCCCTTTCCTCCTGCGGGGGCGGGTGGAAAAGGGCGGTGGGGGGGGAGAAGGCGTGGAGAGGAGGGGGCGGGGCGGCGCTCAGGCCCCGCCCCCGGGGGCCGAGGCCCCGCGGCCACCGCTCCCCTCCCCCGACCCCTGCGCGACCCCCGCTGGGCGCGGGGTCTGAGTCCTGTGGGCCTCCGAGTCCCTCCTCCGCGTTCGCGCGGCCGAGCCTGCACAAACAGAGCTGGGGAGAAAGCGTTCTGGAGGTCGCTGTGCACCCCTTCCTGCGGGGCTCAGCCTCGGCGTGTAATATGGGTTTATTGCCTTGGCCTCAGGCAGGTGGCGGCTGCTTCTCTCCGAGTTTTCAAAGACAGGGAAAGCGATGTTGAGTGGCTGAAGGTTACTGAGGACAGTGCCGGGATATACGTGAAGATTCCTTCCCTGGGTGGGAGCTGGAATTCCCACGCATGAGTAGGGGGCTCTGGGACCCCAGAGAGACCCGCGCGCTGGCGCTTCCCGAAACCCCTTGGCTCCAGCGCACCATGTGAGTCCCTGGCCGCATTCGGTGTCGCTACTTCGGCCCAGATTTGGGGATGGGAATTCCTAATGGAGTAATCGCTTATTTACATAGTCAGTACCCTCACGCCTCCTAAGAGTAGCCTCATTATTGACACAGACGCCTGCAGAGTCGTTTCGCTATAATGCAAATTTTGCAAGATATTTTTGAACAACGTTTTTGAGTTATAGTAAATGAAAAAGAATAATCAGTAGTTATTTAGGAAGAAGGAAATGGTTTGAAGTAGAACTTTTTTACCTCTGGGGGGAAAAAAAAAGGCGAATGACTTCAGATTCCATGGCAGGTCAAAATCAGAACTGGTAAGATTTCTGCACATCTGGTGAGTATCCACATACATAATGATTATTTTCCTGAGAATTACACTCTCCTTATTTCATCTGTATTTTTGCATAAAAATGTGAAATTAGACCTAGGTCATAAATGTACTGCTGTCCATTTATTTCTGAAGTTTATTGCATATCATGAATAATTTGAGTTTTATATTCAATAGCAGAAACTATTTTTCTAACCACATAAGCAGTCAGAATTGATTTCAGAAGAAGTGCGCAGCAATAAAAATAAGGCTTATTTAATAACAGTTTGGAGCCAATTTGGGCCCCCTGGAAACTTGACAATCCAGCTTGTGGGCCGGATGCGGTGGCTCACGCCTGTAATCTCAGCACTTTGGGAGGCTGAGGCGGGCGGATCCCCTGACGTCAAGAGTTCGAGACCAGCCGGACCAAGATTGAGAAACCCCGTCTCTACTAAAAATACACTGGGCGTGGTGGTGCATGCCTGTAATCCCAGCTACTCGGGAGGCCAAGGCAGGAGAATGGCTTGAACCCGGGAGGCGGAGGTTGCAGTGAGCGGAGATCGCACCATTGCACTCCAGGTTGGGCAGTAAGAGCAAAACTCTGCCTCAAAAAAAAAAAGAAAGAAAATTTAGTTTGTGTACTTCTTTTCCTTCCTTCCCAAAGTCTAAATTAATTAACAGCTTTAAAGCAATATTAAACAAGATTTCTTTTTTTATTTACATATATAGTTTTTAATTTTTCCTCATCTCAACTAGAAAAGGAAAGATAAGATTTCTTCAGCCCCCCACCCCTTTTTTTGGACCCAAGGTCTCCCTCTGTCACCCAGGCTGGAGTGCAGTGGTACAAACAGGGTTCACTGCAGCCTTGACTTCCAGGGCTCAAGCAGTCCTCCCACCTCAGCCTCCCAAGTAGCTGAGACTGTAGGTCCGTGCCAACCACCCACCCACACCCCACTAATTTTTTTGGGGGGTAGGGGAACATATAAAGTCTCACTATATTGCCCAGGCTAGTCTTGAACACCTGAGTTCAAGCAGTCCTCTCACCTCAGCCTCCCAAAACTCTGGGGATTACAGACATGAGGCACTGCGCCCAACAAAGACAAGATTTTTTAATGGGTACATTTATTTCATTAACACATTAACACTCAGGGATTCAGAGTTTTTTTGTTTTTGTTTGTTTGTTTCTCTCTTTTTTTATGGCACCCACAGAAATGAAAAATGGATGAAGCCAGTATCTCTCTTCCACTTGACTTGATTTTTGTCACTTTGCAATGGAAGGCTTAGGATTTTCTTTAATTTTTCTCACTATCTTAATCGTCCTATAGATTTACCATAGATTTTTCACTGCCATTTTCTGCCAAAAATGTCATAGAATGAACTTGAATGTTTTGGGACTAATTTTTCATCTGAGTTAACTGTTCTTAGATCTGAAAGTTCTTGATGTGGCAACCTTCTCAATTGCATGCTTAGGGGCCCAGAACTGAAATAAGTTCATTTTAAATTTTGTTTTTTATATATGTATATATATACATGTATGTATGTGTATATGTGTGTGTGTGTGTGTGTGTGTATATATATATATATATATTTTTTTTTTTTTTCTTGAGACAGAGTCTTGCTCTGTTGCCCAGGCTGGAGTGCAATGGCGTCATTTTGGCTCACTGCAAACTCCACCTCCCAGGCTCAAGCAATTCTCCTGCCTCAGCCTTCCAAGTAGCTGGGACTACAGGCGTGCGCCACCACACCTGGCTAATTTATTGTATTCCTTTTTTTTTTGGTAGAGACAGGGTTTTGCCACGTTGCCCAGGCTGGTCTCAAACTCCTGAGCTCAAGCAATCCGCCTGCTTCCCGGCCACCCAAAGTGCTAGGATTCCAGGTGTGAGCCACCATACCCAGTCTTGTTTTAAATTTTAATATAAAGGCTGGGCGCCATGGTTCACGCCTGTATTCCCAGCACTTTGGGAGACTGAGGCGGGTGGATCACTGGAGGTCGGGAATTGGAGACCAGCCTGACCAATATGGTGAAATCCCGCCCCTACTTAAAAATACAAAAATTAGACTGGGCACGGTGGCTCCTGCCTGTAATCCCAGCATTTTGGGAGGCCGAAGCGGGCGGATCACAGAGTCATGAGATCGAGACCATCCTGGCTAAGACAGTGAAACCCCATCTCTACTAAACATTCAAAAAATTAGCCAGGCGTGGTGGCGGGTGCCTGTAGTCTCAGCTACTCGGGAGGCTGAGGCAGGAGAATGGCGTGAACCCGGGTGGCGGAGCTTGCGGTGAGCCGAGATCGCACCACTGCACTCCAGCCTGGGCGACAGAGCAAGACTCCGTCTCAAAAAAAAAAAAAAAATACAAAAATTGGCCGGATGTGGTGGTGGGTGCCTGTATAATAATAATAATTGATGAATGCCTGGCATAAATCAGTCTATGCTTCCCTCACTTTCTTTCACTCTGTCCTTGGGTAAGGTACTTAACTTTTCCTCATCTATAAAGTAAGTAGAATGATATTCACAAAGAAGATCATTTATTAATTTACAATAAGCCATAAATATTAAACACATCAGTTCAGGAATCAATAATCAGCACATGTGATAGGCAGCCTCTCAGTATGGTCTACAACAATTCCTGCCTCCTGCTATTTATACCCTTGTGTAATCCCCTCCTATTGAGTGTGGGGTGAAATTATTGACTGTTTTCTAACACACTGAGTACTTCAAAACTGATGAGATATCTCTTAACAGGATGAAATGATAAAAGACTGTGACTTCAGTCTTGAATTCTCTGTCTCATCCTCTTGGATTGCTTGCTCTTGGGGAAACTAGCTACGATGCCATCAGATTTCCTCGTGATTTAAATTAGAAGTGGATCCTCCCCAAACTGAGCCTTGAGATGACTCCGGCCTCAGCCAACGTCTTGATCGCAGCGTCCTGAGAGACCCTGATCCAGATCACCCTAAGCCACTCCCGGATTCTTTACTCACAGAAACTGTGAGGTAATAAATGTTTCTTCTTTCCAGCTGCAAAATTTGGGGATGATTTGTTACATGACAGCATATAACTAACAAGACACAATAGTACCTGGAAGGTAGCAAGTGCTCAATAATGGTAGCTCTTCTTTTAGTGAATATGATTGGATCATTCAGCATATGACTTGGCATCCTGTAATGCTGATCCAAGCTTACTTTAATACCATAATGATAGTGTTTACAGTTGCAATAAGAAAAAGTATTTAGGAAAAGTGGAAAGACTGACTTTTTTTTTTTTTTTTTTTTGACGGAGTCTTGCTTTGTCACCCAGGCTGGAGTGCAGTGGCACGATCTCAGCTCATTGCAAGCTCTACCTGCCGGGTTCACGCCATTCTCCTGCCTCAGCCTCCCGAGTAGCTGGGACTGCAGGCGCCCGCCACCACGCCCGGCTAATTTTTTGTAATTTTAGTAGAGATGGGGTTTCACCGTGTTAGCCAGGATGGTCTCGATCTCCTGACCTCATGATCCGCCCGCCTCAGCCTCCCAAAGTGCTGCTATTACAGACATGAACCACTGCTCCCGGCCGGAAAGACTGACTTTATCTCATCTGTTATTTATAAACCACCTTTGATGAAAAAGAAATTTTTTAAGACTGTGCTTCATATGATGTCTAGGATTTGCTTCAAAATAATCCGTGGGGGATGGGGAGGAGTGCAGGAAAGAAAAAGGAGTAGGTAGGGGGTGGGTAAAAAAGATTAGACACATGTGGAAGTTGGGTGATTGGTACCTCAGAGTTCCTTTCCTTTTTATGGCTTTTTAAATTTTTCTGTAATAAAAAAGATTTCTTTTTAAAGTATTTTGTGGAATCAGAAGTTTGGAGCTGAACTCCAATCTTTAGAGATCATCTATTCTAATTAACTGATTTGATAAGATGAGGAAATTAAGGCCCAGCCGAATTTACTGACTTATCCAGAGTCTCCCAGTCTCATTTTTGGTGATTTCCTATTTAGATATTGAGGAGAAATTACTCACTTCAAAGTTCTTTTGATTGATTGATTGATTGATTGATTGATTGATTGTCAGCCTCAGAAGTCACATAGCTCTTTATCTCACCAAACAGTAACTTGTTCGAGATTTCCTAGGAGAGCCTCCACAGCATAAAAATTCAAGCCTGTTCTCCACTTTCCGAAATGTAATCTGCATG